TCCAGCTCTCTGTGGGAGGTACACACACACACACACACACACACTATACACACACACACACACACACACACACTATACACACACACACACACACTCCAGCTCTCTGTGGGAGGTACACACACACACACACACACACTATACACACACACACACACACACACACTATACACACACACACACACACACTCCAGCTCTCTGTGGGAGGTACACACACACACACACACACACACATACACACACACACTATACACACACACACTCCAGCTCTCTGTGGGAGGTACGTCCAGATACACACTCATGTGAGGCTCAGGGGTCACAGGGTCATGTGAGGGTCAGAGGTCATATCATTGTTTGTCTGGTTTTTCAAACTGAGCATGCCCAGATACTTTGGCGCTGGAGTTGCTATAGTAACTGTACTCAGGACAAAGCTCATGTTTGAGATGGTTTGGATCAAATTGACTCTTGAATATAAAGTATTTTACTGATAAATCCTCGCTCTGTCTGTGTGAAAATGGTGGATTTAAACTAAAGGTTAGAAAACAGCAGAACTGAGCAAAGTCTGACTTCAGTAAAACACAGAACTTTGAGGATTTTACTCAAATCCCATCATTTTTGTTTCTGTTTCTAAGAATAAACTCTGTGAAAGAGTCAAAACTTTGATGTGAATATTTAAGCTGAGACACACGTGTGACTCCAGACACAGAACATGGGACAAACTCTGAGATGGTGAAGTTCTTCATTTGTCCAGGACTGTTTCAGTGTGGAGAAGGTTTCAGCCGTGCTCATCTGGACTCTGGTTTTGTGATGGAGACGTTTCAGGTCCAGAAGACATTTTCATGTGATGGAGCTGTTAGAAGCACTGGGAATTCACCCTCCTCTGAGTCACTAAGTCCAGCCCAAAGGAGGAGTTTCAGAGTGAATCTGCCTTGTTTACAGCCAACAGATTTATGGCTCATTCTGTCCCTGTTACATTTGATTGGCCTGTTGTGGTCTGGGATCTAGAAAGGCCAAACAGGTCTGTGTGGCCTTGTTCATGTGTGAACTTCATGTGACGGCAGGAACATCGACAGAAATTTGGGGCCCAGGGCAAGAAGAGTCATGTGGGTTCCCCTTGAATATTAATTAATAGGCAGAGGTTCCAGTTCAGCCCCCCTTAGACCGTGGGGCCCGGGACAACAGACCCCTTTGACCCCATCCCGATTGACTCCCGTGTGACGGTCCACAGCACTGAGGTGTTCTATGAAGGCTTCCAGATTTCGTTTTTGGATCTTCATCCATGTATACGGCAACCAGAGGTTTGGAGGAGCTTTCTTCTCAAACAGTTCCATGTAGGGCTGAATGATCGTTTTGGAATGAAAATCATGATCTCACAATTTTGGGATTGTCAAAGCTGCATTTTTTTGCAGCGCTCCTAAAGTCCAATTTATGGATTTACAGATCTGCATCGAGGCCTATTCCTAGGTGAATTCCCAGTGCTTCTAACAGCTCCATCAAATGAAAATGTCTTCCAAAGCCGAAACGTCTTCATCACAAAAACAGAGTCCAGATGAGTGCAGCTGAAACCTTCTCCACATTGAAACGGGAGGGTTAAAAGAGGGTTAAAAGAGTTAAGCATGTTAAGAGTTTATGGTCATGCATTAAATCATCTGCGTCACGATGCACAGAGTCTCTGTTGTTGTGAACCACATTTTTAAATCCTCGCCTCCTCGCGTTGCGGCGGCAAATTACTTCACGGCGCATAAACGTCGACGCAGATCCATAAATCAAAAACAATGGCGACAAGGTGACAGCGGCAAAGTGCAATGAGTCGATGCGCAAATATAATTCGTCCTTTACACATGTTACGTTAAAAAGGGACAAATCAGGCAATGACAGTAACCATGGTAACAGGGTTTTGGGGGGTTTGGTTTTGGGGCTTGGATCTGGGTCCTGGTCTCAGTCCTGGTCCTGGTCTGATCTGGATTCTTTTGTGTTGCAGAGTTAGACTCAGTCCTGATCATCAGAGCCGTGGTGATTCTTCTGTTGATGCTCCTGTTCACCATCCCAATGTACTACTACTGCAAGGTACTGACCTGGTTTAGTCCTGGTTTAGTACTGACTTAGACCTGGTTTAGTCCTGACTTAGTCCTGGTTTAAACCTGGTTTAGTTCTGGAGTTTTTGTGACCTGTGGATGTGCTGTGTCCTGTTGTTTCAGGCCCGGGCCAGAAGGGGCGCTAGAGCAAGGACCTCAGAGAACCTGGAATTACACCGGTTCAGATCCATGTGAGACCCGGACTTAGACCGGTTCAGATCCATGTGAGACCAGTGAGCTCCTGGATGTTCAATACATTTGTGTAAATACAGAAAGACTTTAATCTTGTTACAGCTTCTGATATGTTTAATCACACTCTAGGGTCAGTCACACTCTAGGGTCAGTCACACTCAGTCAGTCACTCTAGGGTCAGTCACAATCACACTCTAGGGTCAGTCACACTCTAGGGTCAGTCACACTCTAGGGTCAGTCACACTGTGGGGTCAGTCACACTCTAGGGTCAGTCACACTCTAGAGTCACTCACACTCTAGGGTCAGTCACACTCTAGGGTCAGTCACACTCTAGGGTCACACTCAGGGTCAGTCAGTCACACTCTAGGGTCAGTCACACTCACACTCTAGGGTCAGTCACACTCAGGGTCAGTCACACTCTAGGGTCAGTCACACTCTAGGGTCACTCACACTCTAAGGTCAGTCACACTCACACTCTAGGGTCAGTCACACTGTGGGGTCAGTCACACTCTAGGGTCAGTCACACTCTAGGGTCAGTCACACTCTAGGGTCAGTCACACTCACACTCTCAGGGTCACACTCTAGGGTCAGTCACACTCAGTCAGGGTCAGTCACACTCTAGGGTCACTCACACTCTAGGGTCACTCACACTCTAGGGTCAGTCACACTCTAGGGTCAGTCACACTCACACACTCTAGGGTCAGTCACACTCAGTCACTCTCTAGGGCAGTGCTCTCAAATAGTGGGCCCCCTGGGGGGCGCGAGGCTCCGTCAAGGGGCGCGCGTTTGACCTCGGGGAACATGCTTTTTTATTTTTTTATTTAGATTTTTTTTTACTGTCTTAAGGGCCGTTCACACCAAAGCGTCAAAAAACGCCTTGACGCCTCTATTTGGAGCCTTTTCATTTGAGTTTAGACGCCCCCGACGCGCGTCTTTGACGCCGTGGACGAACGGGACAAAAATACTTGACGCGCGTCCGTTGCCCTGGAAACAAGAGCCCGGTCCAGGTCTTTTCCGAAACAATGTCAGACAGACTGAGAGAGTGTTTTTATGACATAAAACATCAAAGGAGGAGATCGGGTCGACGACTGGGGCGTATATATATTTATACTCCGTAATGACACTGGATCAGTCCGGTCTAGTCCTGGTCTAATACCGGTCTAGTCCTGTCTAATCAGGTCAGTCCGGTCTGGTCCGGTCTAGTCCCAGTCTAGTCCTGGTTAGTCCTGGTCTAAGTCCTTGTTAGTCCCGGTTAGTCTTGTTTAGTCCTCGGTCTAGCCTGGTTTGGTCCTGTCCGGTCCTGCTGTAGTCCTCGCGATCGGCTCGGTGATTGTGGTGTATATATTTATTCTCCGTTCATGTTTGTGGTTCTCGTTCTGGTTCTCGGGTCTTGCTTCCTGATATATAACGTCGCTGCGTCTCTGGATACTCTCCTGATTGGTTGAGCGGCGCGTCCTGAGCGAAAAGTTCAGCATTTTCAATTCTTGCTGAGCCTGGACGCGCGTCTTGCCGCTGACGCCAAAACGCTGAAGACGCGCCGCGCTGACGCCAGATTCGCCGCGCTGCGCCGAAAACACGCGCAAAAAACGCAGGAGCTCTAGTCGCGCGCCAATAGACTTTACAGAAGTGGACGCTTTGACGCTTTGGTCTGAACGGGCCTTTAGATAAAGTGCAATTGCACTTCCCACATTAGGGCAAGCGCTCTTTGGCAGTGTGCGAGGGAGTTTTGTTGCACTGAGCTCGCGCTTTGCACACAGCAGAGTTTGAGTATGAAGTGTAGACACGAAGTGTAGCGACCCTCAAGTGACACATGAAAAATATTTAACAGGGATGAGAAGACAGACGGAGAGAGAGGAGATAAGAGACAAACGAAAATTCCCGAAAGCTAGACGAGGAAATGACGAAGCGTATGTAGCGGTTGTTCACTGTGACAAGGTGGGAGCGAAGGAAAGACGGTGTGTTATGTGTTAAAATGTTGGCAGCGGGCAGCATGAAGCCAATAAATTAAGGCGTCACTTAATACATTACACCCAATCACTCTGATAAGACGCTTGAGTTCAGGCGAAAACGTGCCGAATATTGCGACAATCATCCCGCTTGTGACTGCTACTTCAGTAAACCAGCGAGCCTTGTTGCATATAAGGTGGCAGTGTTAGCAGAGTGTACTTATAAATTTTATAGACAAATGATACTATCTTATAGTCACGCGGGGGCGCGAGATGTTTTTTCGTCTAGGGGGGGATGACAGAAAATAATGAGAAGCACTGCTCTAGGTCAGCACACTCTAGGGTTTTACATGAATAATAGTTAACTCCTGTGTGTTATTTCATGTCATTAAATGTGTAATAAATGTGTAATAAAAAATAAATTCTGTATGTGGATTTTCAAATAAATGTAAGATTTTTGTATGAATAAAATTTTAACGCGCATTTGAGCTTCTGTGTGTGTCGACATTATAAACTAAAGATTATCACCATGNTGTTACCATGGTTACTGTCACTGCTCGATTTGTCCCTTTTAACGTAACGTGAGTAACTCTTTAACCAGTTTCTCCCGTCAGTGTGGAGAGGTTTCAGCCGTGCTCATCTGGACTCTGTTTTTGGGATGGAGACGTTTCAGCTCCAGACATTTCATTTGATGGAGCGTAGAAGCACTGGGAATTCACCCTCCTCTGAGTAACTAAGTCAGCAAAGGAGGAGTTTCAGAGTGAACCTGCCTCGTTTACAGCCAACAGCATTATGGCTCAAGCTGAAACGTCTCCAAAAACAGAGTCCAGATGAGCACGGCTGAAACCTTCTCCACACTGAAACACTCCTGGACAAATGAAGAACTTGACCGTCTCAGAGTTGTCCCATGTTCTGTGTCTGGAGTCACACGTGTGTCTCAGCTTAAATATTCACATCAAAGTTTTGTTTTCACAGAGTTTTCTTAGAAACAGAAACAGAAATGATGGGATTTGAGCAAATCCTCAAAGTTCTGTTTTACTCAAGTCAGACTTTGCTTTCTGCTGTTTTCTAACCTTTAGTTTAAATCCACCATTTTCACACAGACAGACGAGGATTTATCAGTAAAATACTTATATTCAAGAGTCAATTTGATCCAAACCATCTCAAACATGAGCTTTGTCCTGAGTACAGTTACTATAGCAACTTCAGCGCCAAAGTATCTGGGCATGCTCAGTTTGAAAAACCAGACAAACAATGCTATGACCCCTGACCCTCACATGACCCTGTGACCCTGACATTGTGTATCTGGACGTACCTCCCACAGAGAGCTGGAGTGTGTGGCTCTGAGAGGAGAAGTTTGGTTGAACACCTGCAGGAGGTAAACACAGGTGTAGTTTCCTTTTGGGCGTGGTCAGCGTCAGAGAACAGGAAGTGGGCGGAGTGATTGACGGCGGCAGGGTGCGGTTCTGAGCGGGGGCGCGGCGGGAGAGAGGAGCGGAAGGAGCCTCCGGGTACTGTGGCTCCACGGAGCATTTGACCCTGAACTTTGAGCCCAGCTGCACCCGCACCCCCTGAGGCTGGAGCTCGGACGCCCCGTCACTCACAGACACGGAGATGATTGGACGATTCAGAGCTCTGTGGACACGTGATTGGACACATCAGTCTGTGTGTGTGTGTGTGTGTGTGTGTCTGGAGCAACTAGAAAAAACATCAGAGACATAAAAATGTAAAATCTGATTTTTACCTGAACACATCACCTCCAGACCATAAGAGGAAGAGGAGAATGAATCAGAGACACATTCTCTCACTGAAGACTCCTTCACACAGTCAGGTCTGACCTCCCACACACGACTCTCTGGAAAATCATCTCTCTTTTCTCCATAAACAGCAGAGCCACAGTCCAGGTCTCTGCACACACCAACTGTGGCCTCCAGGTCCCAGAATCCAAAGGGCTCCTCCACTCGTCTCCACTCTCCTCTGTGTTTCACCTCCACAGTCCCAGCACAGCGACTGGCTCCTCCCACCAACCTGAGCTCTGAACAGACAAGAGACAGAGTGAAGCCCCGCCCCTTTACCTGAGCACTGAAGCCCCGCCCCTTTACCTGAGCAGGTGAGGTGGACAGTGGCTCCAGAGAGCAGGTGCTTGAGTTGGAGCGGGACAGTCCATCAGAGCAGACTCATGGCCCTCACAGTGGAACATCTGCCCCAGAGGAGAGAGCGCCCCCTGGAGGAGAGAAGGAGCCCCACAGCCCAGCTCCCTGCACAGCACCTCTGCCCCCCGCTGCGTCCAAGTCCCCGTCACAGACCCCGGTCCAAGACCCGTCCCAGATCTGCACTGATCCTGAACACAGACCGGACCCCGAGACCAACCGCACCGACTCTGTGGACACACATGTGTGACATCATCACTCTGAACCAATAGGACGCACACATGTGTGACATCATCACTCTGAACCAATAGGACGCACACATGTGTGACATCACAATAGGACACTTGCTGTGTTCATGTAAACACAGAAACTGTGAAGAGACACATTGTGACTGGTTAAATAAGATGTCTTCTCGCAGTAGGGCAGGTGCGTCGGTGTCGTCAGTCAAACATTTCAAAAACAACAATATTTCTCCACAATACAAAAAACCAAGTGGAAAAGGAAGCCTAAGAGCGTGCAGATTTAAAACCAGTGCATGGATTGTAACCTGTGTCATCTGTGTGACCATGTGCTCCGGTCGAGGACGTCTGGCCGAGTCATTCAAGCAGCTCATGGATAAGGAAACCTTTTACACACACCTTGGGACTCCCTCCGCTTGATGAAAGGGCACATGAGCGCGGAGCAGCGCGAGCGGCTCTGGACAGTTGGGTCAGTTCTTTACAGCTGACTCTCTACTTGTTCAGGACCAAAGTTTCCGAGTGGCGTTTGCACAAACAGTAAACTCTGCCCCGCGTGTCACGTGTCAGATCTTACCACAGCGTTAACCGACCATCGGCAAAAAAACACCACTTCAAACCATTTAGAACCGTCAAACACACTGTGTTTTATGGGACTAGAACCAAACCAAGAGGATTATTACTGTGTGTGTGTTTATCTGTGTGTGTGTGTTTATCTGTGTGTGTGTGTGTTTATCTGTGTGTGTGTGTGTGTGTGTGTGTTTATCTGTGTGTGTGTGTGTTTATCTGTGTGTGTTTATGTGTGTGTGTGTGTTTATCTGTGTGTGTGTGTGTTTATCTGTGAGTGTGTGTTTATCTGTGTGTGTGTTATCTGTGTGTGTGTTTATCTGTGTGTGTGGTGTTTATTGTGTGTGTGGTGTGTGTGTGTTTATCTGTGTGTGTGTGTGTGTGTGTGTGTGTTTATGTGTGTGTGTTATCTGTGTGTGTGTGTTTTATCTGTGTGTGTGTGTGTTTATCGTGTGTGTGTGTGTGTGTGTGTGTGTTTATCTGTGTGTGTGTTTATCTGTGTGTGTGTGTTTATCTGTGTGTGTGTGTGTTTATCTGTGTGTGTGTGTTTATCTGTGTGTGTGTTTATGTGTGTGTGTGTGTGTGTGTGTGTGTGTGTGTGTGTGTGTGCG